ACAACACATTGTTTTAAGGAACATTGCTTATTATTTAGGTAAAGATTAGTTTAAAGTGCCGTGTTACTGAATGAAGAAACATTCATAACAGTAATGAATGTGATAAAGATCGAACTGATATTACACTAGGGTAGTTCCTGTAAAATTTTAATTTTTAACTTTGAATAAACCTCCACTTTACGGATTAAGGAAACCTACCTGCCTTAAATTGTTCATAATACCGGAATGACTTGGCCTTTAAACTTACATAAACGTCATCACACTTTGCAAAAATATAAGGATAACGAACAGTAATCATTTTTAAAAGTCAAATTGACCGGTCACGGTAGCCTAGCTAGTGGTAGGGCGCCCGCTTCGTGATCGGGAGGCCCGGGTTCGATTCTCGTTCTCTGCGCCGAGTGAAACCTAAGATGTAAACATAGGTAGTGACTCTTCCTCCGCCAAGCGACCGTCAAGGGTCTTTCGGATGAGTCCTTAAAAACCGAGGTCCCGTGTCATGGTAGGCGTTGACACGATAAAGATCCCTCACTGCTCAATGGCCTTGAGTGCCGAGTATAGGACCAAATTTGAAGCCCTTCACCGGCATACAGTGGCGTCTCCGTATGTGAAAAATTCTCAAACGGGACGTTAAACAACATACTATCAATCAATCAATAGAAGTCAGATTAAACAATAATGTGAGCAGAGTAAACAGCACCGACTTCTGAAAACATGTTCTGAAGTGGAATCATGTGCCATAAAGGAACTGTCGACTGGTCACATCCGTCGTGCTCCTTGTCATGATCAGTAAAAGGAGAAATCCGTAGAAAATACAGATCCAACCATTGTAAAAACCTTTGATTAACGCCGCCGCTTTTTTGTCGCTCGCTTCGGGTATTTATGCTCTCCTCCGCTTTAAGAATGGTTTCCAATAATTAACTACTTATTTTATTGGGTCACCTGAGTTAACTCATATAATACATCAAATATTCATTTGTCTTTTGAGGTCACCCGGGTCACTCAGGTGACCTATTGCTATCCGTTTTCGTCCGTCGGCGTGCGTCGTGCGTTAACATTTGAACATTTTCAGCTTCTTCTATGAAACCACTCAACCAATTTCAACCAATTTTGGCATATAGCATCTATGGGTAAAGGGGAACAAAAATTGTGAATTTCATGGTCCCTGCCCCCCGGGGCCTGAGAGGTGGGGCTGAAACCACTAGAATTGATGCAATCTTTAAAAATCTTCTTCTTTACTCATAGTCATCAAGCAGTGAAACTGTTGGCATGATTGTAATGTGCATTGAGCCCTCTACCAAAATTGTGAAATTCATGGCCCCGGGGTCAGGGGTCCTGGTGCCAGGGTGGGGCTATATAGATCATATAGTGAAAGTGCATTATTTCTTTGAAAAACTTCTTCTCTGCTCCTGGGTATTAAATATACTAACTAAGTACATTGTTATTAAGAGCAAGAATGCCTCTTCCAAAATTGTGAATTTCATGGCCTCAGGGTCAGGGGTTCTGGTGTTAGGGCGGGGCTCTGTTGGTTATATACTGAAAATGCATTAATTCTTTGAAAATCCTTTTCTCTGCTCCTGGGTATCGAATAAACTAAGTACATAGTTATGATGAGAAAGAAAGAGTGCCTCTTTGAAAATTGTGAATTTCATGACCCCAGGGTCAGGGGTTCTGGTGTTAGGGCGGGGCTCTAATGATTATATACTGAAAATGCATTAATTCTTTGAAAATCTTCTTCTCTGCTCCTGGGTAATAAACAAACTAACTAAGTAAATAGTTATGATGAGCAAGAGTGCCTTTTCCAAAATTGTGAATTTCATGGCCCCAGGGCAGGGGTTCAGGTGTTAGTGCGGGGCTCTATTGAATATATAGTGAAAATACATTGAAAACCTTCTCTGCTACTGGATATAAATAAACTAAGTACATAGTTACATGTATGATGAGCATAGTTGACTCCTCATAAATTATGTATTTCAGGGCCATTTAGTCAAGTGTTCTGGTCCTGGCCAGGGCTCTATTAACTTGTATTCTGCTGAGCAAAGTTATTCCACTTTGCCATTAACCTTTGATAATTTATCACTGTAAATAATGTATTTGAAAGGTTAATAGAATAAGAAAATTACGCAAGAATACTTATTGTGTAATACAAAAAGTACTTTCATAGTTTTAATGATCAGGTAGACTTGGAAATAATAGATGAATAAAAATGAGACAAAAATAACTTATCTTTTTAAATGTTTATCAAAGGCCAATAGAGGCCAACGTGAGAAGTAATAATATGGGATGATAAAATAGAAATTTTGTTAATAGTTTGTATGGTAATAGTGATAAATAGGGGACAGATAAATACTGGATCAATTATTTTGTTGATGCTGATCATACTATTTTTCTTGCTTTTGGGCAACAAAGCTTCATTCATCAGTTTATGGATCCTCTAAATTGTTGTATTGTACTCAGGTGACCGTTAATGCCCTTGGGCCTCTTGTTCTTACTCTTGATACTTTGTTCACCTTTCAGTGGTCCCAAACAGCCCTTAATGGTTGTGGAATGTCGGATTAAAAAATTCCCATTCCGACGTCCATGTTGGGGGTGGTCGTGCAATAAAGGTCTTTCAAAGAACATACACTTTTCGAGAAAATGTAAAGACATACATTAAAAATTCAGGAGGTTAAAATATCATGTATATTGTCTATAGAGAAGACAAAATGTATGGAAGATTATTGCACACGTTAACACGTCACCAAAAACCAGTAATTTTTTTTTTTCAAATTTAGACTCTTACTCGGCATTCAGGGAAAGATATTATCGTGTAAACGCCTGTCATGACTCCAAGACTTGGTTTCTAAGGTCTCATCCGAAAAATCTACAAATTTCTCTTTAAAGTACCGAACGCTTAGTAAAAAGAAGTTGCTTCGTAGTTTTATCGACTAAACTTTGTTAGAGAGACCCAAGACCTGATAATCACAGAGTAAGCTCTCTATGGAATAATGTCATGGTCTCCAATCTGAGAACAAGCTGCTTAGAAATAAATTTAAAAAATAACTTTTATATTATCAAGAAAGGTAAAATTGATTTGCATTCGGGGAAAAAGAGGTAAAATCGCTCATTTGTTGATAGCCTTATATACGTTTGATCACAGCAGAAAATAAAAAGCTACCGGTATCCCCTATAACGCTTCATTATTCTTTCTAATATGCATAGTTTCATACATAATATTGGTATCGAGTTTTGTTTACATGCAATGAGATAAATTTATCCTTAAATATCTTGTAAATGTATGGAACAATGATACAGAATATTCTATGCAATGTGAAATGTAAACCTATTTAACGTCACTGTTGAATGTTAAGGTTATCCGATCCTCAGCCAGGAAGGATAACTCTTAAAATTAATATTTTATTTTAAAAGTCTCAAAATGAAGTTTGAAATTGAGATCTTTTCGTGCAACAATTTTCATTTTATGCATCTTAGTATGATTCAAGGTTCTTTGAAGTCTTATAAACGGTCATGTAAAAGTTGACATTTGTAACCCCATAAAAGAAAAGAAAATGAATTCATTTTTAGAGAAATCGAATTTCCTTTAGTTAAGCATTAGATACCACTGCTTATTAGCATGATATGAAATTAAATGTAATATGTGATATCTAGCAATGATAGCACAAGCTTTTTACACTATGTATTATATGACAATTGAAGTAAAAAGAAGAACTAAAATACTGCTTAAGGACATACGCAACGTAGTTTGAACTTTATTGTGTTTTTCCCTGTAGTTGAAGAGTTCCAATACTTGAAGGAATTGTGTGCTACGTTTGTATGTATATATATACTGTTGTACACTTCTTCTAAAACAAGTTTGGATAAACAAAACGTCTAGAATATGTGTTCAGTAATTTTTGTGTATTTTTCTTTGAATTATACAAGAATTTTCATCAATTGATTTCTTTTCAAAACCCCTGGTAATGCATGCTGATTTATTGTCGACGAACATCTGATGGCACTATAATCTTAAATTAAGAATATCTTGAAAAATTATAAGTAGGTAAGGTACGTTGCGTATGTCCTTAAGCATAAAAAAGATGCAATTTTCACCAAACGCCTGGATACCTAAATTTTTCTATCCTTAATTATATTTGTTGATCATTTTACAATTAGAAAATGCATAGCTGGTGTTTTTATTCACATTACCTGAACGTATATTTGAGATTTGATAATTTTCCCTACATATAATATGTTTAACTATAATGATGAACTTTGAAAAAATTCCATTGGTATATTCACGTTACTTTGTGAAATCAGAGACATTTTTGTGAGCATTTTCAATTACTTAAAAGCTGATTTTCAGAACCTGAGGATCGGACTACCTTAAATTATCGATGAAATAGTTTTCTTGTCATCAGGTTAAACTATACATTTACCAGGGACGCAGTCAATTGGATAAAGTTAAACTCTATCCCTATCCCTTATGGAAATACGCATTGGTACTCGTACTTGTTAACCCTCTTCCCCGCAGTCACGCATTTTAACGCATATACCATTTCCTATTTCTAACGCAAAATCACGCATATACCGTTTCCCCGCAATCACGCATTTTTCACGCACTTTCAAAATTTAAGCTTCAATTTAATGCCAATTCCCTTCTAATTTATACTTGCTAAGATCTCATAAAATAAGAAAAGTTATAATCTTATTAAAATATTAGGTCGTAATTATTTACGCTAAACTTTAGAGAAACTTGTACCTCGCTATAAGTGCTTGCGGGAAAAGGTAACGTCATATTTCTGTGACGTGAACATTAAGTGTATGTTGCGTCACAGTTCAGTAAGTTGTAAAGAGTTAATACAAGCAAGTTTGTCGACTAAAATATTAAAATAAAAATAGCATTATAATGTCCCTGAAAGAGTTTACTACAGGATTTGCTTGTAGTAGAGATTTTTTCATCTGCAAGTAGCAATTAAAGAACTTACATTGAATTCATTCTTTTTTTTTTTTTAAATATTCTGTAGAGAAACGACAAAGAGGACGATTTGCGGGATTTTCCATTTATATTTCAAACTCCACCGATAGAGGCGATTGGTTTCATTGTTACAAGGACAAGTCTGGGTTACCCCCCTTGGATTTCAGTACCACATGCATGAAACATGGTCGTTACGTCATTTATTACAATGAAAGATTAAAGAACATTACCTATCCTGTTGGTTACCAAACTACAATCATAACAGAGTTATGCGAAGTGATAGTGCATGGTAAGCAACTTCCTGTACGTCTGTTTCTTTAATAATTTGTCAGTAATTTTTTAATATGTTGGTATTGAGAGTAAACGCAGATATTGATACACTAATTTTTTCCTAAGCAATATCTCTTCAGTCAAACTATTAGGGGAGCTTGAGAGCATCTTGACATATAAAAATGGGGTCTACCCACTAGTCCGACGGTTTACTAGTCCGACGACCCACTAGTCCGAAGGTTCACTAGTTCGATTGAAAAAAAGTTACAAACCCTTTTTTAACATTTCATACCAAGGAGTGATATATATCGCTTTAAAAATATAGCGTTTTATGGAACATATAAGTAGATTAAAACCTTTTTTTGATTATCATTATGGAATATGATTACAGGTAAAGTTCGCCCAGTTATATATCGATAGGAAATTTTTATTATTTGTTGAGGTTTTCAAATATCTTTAACTCTGACTTGAATATACAGTAAATAATTTTCACATACCTTTTATTAAACCTTAAACGTAATTTTATTTACGTATGCTTTATTGAAAAAAAAACTAAACATTTATAAAATTAACTTAGAGTTACATTGTCTTGTTCCTTTTTCCGCGAGGGATAGACATTCACACACATATACAAAAATAAACCACCACCCCCACCCAACAGAGGCACATGCACAAGAATTGTGTCGACAAAAATCTATAACTTTAACGTAGTGCACATGAGTACAGGAATGCTGCAATGAATTCAAGAATATACTAAAGCACTGTAGATTTTATAGATTTCAATTAAGCAGATCACTGTAAGCCATTTGGATTTCGGTCAAAACACATCATGGATTTTTGAGGTATACACAAAACCATGGTTGCATATTAACATTATAATATGCATTCACTGATTATCATCAGTTTAAAATAAATATTATTAATGTTATTGAGATCATCATGGAGTCAATTTATTGTGAATATAGAGAAATAAAAGCAAAACTTATTTGGCACGACAGTTCTACAGATTTAGAGAATTTTTTTCCGTTGTCGATTATTTTAGAGACTCCAAGATTTACAGTCTGTAGTGAAATAATATGGCCATGTGGATGATTTGGTAAAAAAAAATATTATATCCTATTTTATTGTATGCAACATATATCTTCATTTTCCCGAATTATTTTTGTAATCCTCCTTTCACTCATATAAAGTTTTGCTTTGATGATTATTGTCCAAACTAAAGAACTCTAAATTGAATTGCAAACAACTTCAGTACACCTTACGGGGTAAAATAAGACACGTATCACCTTCTAATTACGTACTGAGCAATCATTTTTTAAGGGAATAAGTCATTCATCCCAATAAGAGTGATTGTATCTCTTTAAATAAAAAGTCACTAAGCTTAATTGTACACGTATGGCTTAGTTCTATAGGCCACTTAAGCTTGCGTTATATTGTTTTTCACACACCCCCCTTCTTAGTATGGTCCTTTCAAAGGAGGATGAAGGCCCTCTCCCCGTTTGAGACTTCTTTTCCTTTTGTTTGTTTAACTTGTATATATGCTCTCAATTTTGTCCCCAGCTAATGTTCTAGCACTTAGTACATTGTATAAATTCTGATTCAAAAAGTTTCTGCTATAAAAATTTCTAAACCCCCCAACCCCCAACCCCCCAATTTTCCACGAAATAGATTTAACTAAAAAATGTTAACGACTTAGAATTGACGCAGAAAAAAACGCATCGCGAGAATCGAACCCTGGCCTTCCGATTGCAAAGCGAGCGCCCTACCACCGGTCAACAGTGGAGAAAGAAAGGGTTGAAATGCGGGAATATGAATATAAGAACGAAGTTTCAAATTTCTATTAATAATTTTTAGCCGTGGTCCAAATTTCAACCCAAACTTCAGGAACTTGTTAAGGTACAAGGTAGAACAATTGTACAGAGCCGGGCACTTTGAACTGTTTATCTTACAGATTATATTGGGTTTTCTGACTACTGAATCTTCGGACTAGTGAACCGTCGGACTAGTGAACCTTCGGACTAGTGGACCGTTGTGCCGAGAACAAGTCTAAATTTGCAGCCCTCCAACGGCAGTGGTGGCGTTTCAATATGAGTGAAAATTCTCGAAGGGACATTAAACAAACTATTCAAGAAGCCATTAAGACATTTCATGTAGAGTTTCATGCTAAAATAAGATGGTTGAACTTCAAGTTTCTTGTTTTCAGTAACTATTATAGAAAATGCTGCCTTAAATGTACTGCAAGCTTATTTTTTCCAAGAGGAATGCAACATATTGCGTTTTTTTTTTGTTTTGGTTCCGTAGACGCTATTTTCTTCAGGCATTAAAACATTAGTATGACATCATCTTTTGTTCTTTTAATACTTTCCATCTTCGAAAGGCGGCTACAGGTAGGTTATTGGATTAAGAAAACACAAAAAAGAAACAGATAGATTTTTTAAAGTAATGAATCCAACATGCTTCATAATATAATCAAAAACATATTCCAAGTCACAGAAATAAAAACTGAAACTTTGTAATTGTTCCAATAAATGATGAAATGTATATTCCAAATCACAATGAATGTCGAGACTTAAATTTGAAGGAAATATATTCTAATTCTATTGGAATGTAACTTGCACTGACAACACGCTCGGGGATATCACTTCTCCTTTTAAGTGCCTTCCTGGCAAAAATCAGTCGCTCCTTCTTTCTCACTAGAACTCGGAATAATTTTGCTCACTTTCTACAGGAGCACATCGTTTCTTCTATTGTAGGAATGCAAGGGTGTTTGTTCAATAGTCTTTGACCGATTCCTTTCTGACTTCAGCGATGAAAAAGCTAATAATTTTGTTGATTTCATTATCACCCAACATTGCGATGTCCTTAAACATGAAAAACATCAACACTGAGTTCTGTGTGACATTCTCTCTGTCATTAAAAGAATACATTTACATTTCTCCGTTTTCTGCGAGAAGCCTCTTCTAAATCATGTAAATATTGTTGATTTAATTACGGAAATCTTTCTACGTTCCCTTCGTTGTTGTTTTTTTTTTCTGTTTTTTTTTTTTTTTGCTTTTTTTTTTTTTTATTTTTTGTTCATCCTTGAGGAGCCTTTACCAAAAGTTGAGAAATATTTGAGAAAACGTCCCCTTTGAGTTCAAAGTTCATTATTATGACAATGGCAAGCTCAAAATCCAAAATATGACTTGAAAATGACATCTGTATTATTAGCAGATTGCTCGTCATATCTGAATTTGTTTCTCTCTCGGAACAAGACATGCTTTCAACATTGACAATCACAATCGCTTCGTGGTTACCGTAAATATTCTTTATTCAGTTATTGAAAATAGTACTTACCTGTAACTGTCCCCTAAATTAACAATTACAATGAATGTAAGTATCTTTTGATTGTCAGCAACCTTTACCTGTGACACTCCGATAAGTGAACAATGCTCACTTAATACAATGGATGAGAAACAATTCTAAGAAAGTACAATATGAACGCAATAGTGTAAATGTTTTTAAGTAGGCTGTCCATTCTGTGTAAAGAAAGAACTATTGTCGGGCCTAACGGCCCTCCACCAGTTCTTTCTTCTCACAAATGGACAGTTTTCGTCCTATAACCTTTACATATTAAATAAGATAACTAAAAAAGGAGAACTGGTTTGCCTAATTGAAGATAACTGTTCAGCTTATGTTTACATAAACACCTAAAAATTCTATATGTAACTTATTTCTATATCTAAGTAGACAAATCTTTTATTAGAATTACATAAACATATATAGATATAAACAATATACACTGGATGAAGCACTCTTGTTCATCATAACTATGTATTTAGTTTCTTTGCTTTATAACCAGTAGCAGAAAAAATATTTTCAAAGAAATTATGCTTTTTTACTTTATAATCAATAGACCCCACCCCCTTCCCCAACCTTGGGGCCATGAAATTCACAATTTTGTAAAGGCATCAATGCTTATCATAACCATGCACTATTTTGTTTAAATAATACCCAGGAGCAGAGGAGAAGATTTTCAAAGAGTTAATGCATTTTCACTATATAATAGTAAAACCAGAGCCCTGACCCAGGGAACATGAAATTCATAATCTTAGAAAAGACATCAATGCTTATCATAACCAAGCACTTAGTTTGTTTAGATAATGCCCAGGAGCAGAGCAGAATATTTTCAAAGAATTAATGCAATTTCACTTGATAATCAATAGAGCCCCGCCCTAACACCAAAACCCCTGACCTAGGGGCCATGAAATTTACAATTTTGGAAAAGGCATCAATGCTTATCATAACCATGCAGTTAGTTTGTTTAAATAATACCCAGGAGCAGAGCAGAATATTTTCAAAGAATCAAGGCATTTTCACTATATAATCAATAGAGCCCCGCCCTACCATCAGAGCCCCTGACCCAGGGACCATGAATTTCATCATTTTGGAAAAGACATCAATGCTTATCATAACCATGCAGTTAGAATGTTTAAATAATAACCAGGAGCAGAGAAATTTTCAAAGAAATTACGTACTTTCACAATATGATCTATATATCCCCGCCCTAGCACCAGAGCCCCTGACCCAAGGGCCATGAATTTCACAATTTTGGTAGAGGGCCCTATTCTTATTACATGTACATTCATGCCAACAGTTTGACTGCTTGATGTCCAGGAGTAAAGAAGAAGATTTTTAAAGATTGCATCAATTATGGTGGTTTTAGCCCCATCGCTGGGGCCACAGGGATGCAAGGACCATGAAATTCACAATTTTTGTTCCCCTTTATACAAAGATGATATATGCCAAAATTGGTTGGCATTGGTTTAGCGGTTCTAGAGAAGAATTTGAAAATGTTCAAAAGTTAACGCACGACGACGGACAAAAACGGATAGCAGTACTGTAGATTCCTAAATATACGCGAGGAATTAATTATCCCGTAATTACGCGAGAAGCACCACTCGCGAAATAAAATTTCTCCCTTTTATTTTTATGGTGCTGAAATCAATGCAAAATCCCTTGATCAACCGTCCTATCGCGAATTATTGTTCTCGCGATTTGACGTGAAGGGCCATTTCGCGATAACAAGTACTCGCGAAAAATAAGGAATCTACAGTAGGTCACCTGAGTGACTCAGGTGACCTAAAAATGTCTAAATTGCGAAGATTAAAGAATACAAACTTGAAATTTTATCTTAAGTTCAATTTCTCTGCATGTTCTTTTTCCTCTTAACGAAAGTAATGAAATTAAAAATACATGTAAAGGAAAATAATATGGCTTAACAAATGAAAATATTATCACTGAAAAAGAAATAATTCAAATTTGAAGTCCAGTTTTTTATGCCCTTAACAGCATTTATGTCTTGCATGTGTAAGAACGATAAAGAATATACAATAATGATTGCTTTAGAATAAGAAAAACGATAAGCCCCTAAATCTTTGAATTATTTTTGTCTCTGGAGTTAATAAGCAAGTTATTGTTTTGTTTCTAGGTTTTTATTTTGTCTCGCTGAGCCGAAAGAATAATGTTAAGCACAAGAATGTTGTACATATATAAAAGGAAATTCAGTCCAATAAAGAAAATTTCAGAATTCGGCAAAAAAGTAAAAGCCCAAAATCGCAAAGAATTTGGGGTTATATGAAACACAATACACATGATCGCTGGAATTGTAATGAAAACATGTCTGAAGTGACAAAAATATTGAGAAGCTAAAATATATGGTAATTCCATTGTTGAATACGTAGGGCATAATATATATGTATGTACTTTTAGTTACATAAAAAATATTTTCTTATTCGCATTACCAGTAAATCCCTTTCTTGTTTCTTGCAAGCATTTTTGTACTTATTTACTATTTCTTTATTTGGTTTTCAATACGTTCTCTTTCATTCTACCCATTGCTCGATTGTGAATTAAACCAGTGTGAATAATGACAGTAATTTGAAATACATAAGACTATACGTTTCCATTGTTGAAAAGGTTGCGCTGAGAAAGGAGTCTATGGAGTAAACTGTGACCTACCCTGTCCTGTTAACTGTCAAGAAAAGAGATGTCACATAATTAACGGAAGTTGTCTGGGATGTATGCCGGGATGGAATGGAGACAAGTGTGATAAATGTATGAAGTGGAAAAATGAGTAATAATAGACCAGTATTTAACGATATCCTGTAGACAGCAACATACTTCGAACACTTAAAGATTTCATTTAAGTCCTTGTCGATGACAGACACTTTTTATTCACATTCAAAGGCATTGAAGCATTAAAAGTATGGATATTTCTTATCACTTTCTTTTTTAAATAAATAAAAACCATTCAGTAGAATGAAAAATTAGTTAGGGGTGGGGGAATAGTACATCAAGATCTTAAACTTAAAAGGCATATAAAGTTCTTGCATACAGTTTCTCTTTTGTTAAAATTCAATAACGTTTCCTGAAGACATAACAGAATTGAAACATTTTTCAGTTTTACAGGATTATTAATTAATGCAACTGATAAATTCAAAATTATTATTTTTCTGTGTAGGACTTTTACGACACTACTCTCGAAATATTAAAAAAAAAATAATGTAATCATCCATCCTCCTTCAAAAGTAGTTGACGATATCTTTTTTCCATCTTTTCGAAATATCAGGCAATTCTTAATTGAATCTTTAAAGTCTTTTGAACAGTGTGCCCTGTTGGATGGTATGGACTTGAATGTCAACACAGGTGTCTTGGACATTGCCAACACAATGCCTCCTGTCATCATGAGTCAGGCAGTTGTGTAGACGGTTGTGCTGAGGGATGGATGGGACCTTTGTGTAACAAAGGTTAAGTTATCCTCTTGTATTACCAAAACTTTGATTTTCCATAGAATGATATATATATATATATATATATATATATATATATATATATATATATATATATATATATATATATATATATATATATATATATATATATATATATATATATATATAATCAATATATCTGGATATTTTAGGAGACCAATACCTCTCGCATTCAAAATCTTTAATCAGTAAAGATTGAGCATGTGTGATACGTAAACATAATGTTTTCACTCTTATGTGTGATCTTTATTTGTTTTTTCATGATGATCATGCCACACATCTGCCTCCAACCCTTTTAAAAGGATGGCTCAAGTTAATCATGGCTCAAAATAGATCACATGATGAAGTACAAAACAGTGTTTGTTTCTTTTCTAGCTTCCAAAACACTAACTGATTTGATATTTCTAAAATAGGAAACAATCTTCTAAAAAAACAATAAAAGTGAAGACGTCACAATACCCCATACTGATTCGCTTTCCTATACAAATACTTCAGTTCCTATTTGATTGCACCCATGGGAAAAGGGCCCTTATGGCAATTTTTACACATTTAAAGTTTTTCATGAATATTAATAGAGCAATATTAGAAGTTGCCAAATCTGAATTTTTATGGCCCTACGTCAACTCTAAGTGGGTTTTTTCTTCATTTATATCAATGATACTTTAACAGGTAAACAATGACGTCATCTTACTTTCGCACGAACGTCAAAACTTTTCAGAGTGAACATGACTTTCACTTTGCATTGTAATGTTACTACGGTAATAAATGTATGTTATTGAGCTTTTCCAGAAACATTTTTGAGTCATTGTCTCTTTTAATAATTGTATAATATGATAATAAATAGTTGTATTAACTATTATCCATCATGCAGTGGTGTATAGAATTATGAGTGTTTGTTCGTTTGTTTGTTTTACATTTCACTATGCTGGAATGTCAGGAAAACCCGAGAAGCAAGCGGATTCTGTTTAATATCAATTTATTCTCTCAAACCAAAGTATTTATCTCGTGTAATAATCGTTTGAGAAACCTGTGAAATTCATTCGAAAATCATCTCATTTTAAGCAAGATGTCATTTTTTGGGGGGTGGGTGGGGGAAGGGGTTGAATCCAGTATAAAAGATATCTCTTTCAAAATGTGAAGTTAAAAAATATTTCATAAAAATTCTCGGGAACAACAATAAAATAGATGCTGCTCGGTAGTGAAAATTTGTTTGTTTTTTTTTTTTTTTTTTTTTTTTTTTGGTTTTTGTTTTCTAAATATAATTAGATAGAAAATTTGTGAAATGTAGTGAGTTACTGTATACGCTGTACAACAATTTAAGGACATTAAGTTGATAAACTGCATGTTAAGCAATATTTGATAAATAAAAATTTCAAACAAAAAATCAGAAGGACTTCCACCCGCATGTGGTAACAAAACCTTTTTTTAAATTGAAATGATACACATTTTTTCAGTCACAGCAAGGAAAATTTTTGAATAATTAATTTTAAGTAAGCAGGTTGATAAATTATAAACAAATGGATGAATTATAACTCACATGCATTTAAAATGAAAGGAACGGATCCAGGATGACCAGTGGTTGGATTGTGTGTGTGTGTGTGTGGGGAGGGGGGGGGGTTAAAGTTAAAGGACAGAAACATGCTATACTTGTAGTTAACATGAGTTTAATAGCATACGAGGGTTGTCGTATTTTTAAAATCTTCCTACATTTTAGGTGTGCATGGGGGATGCCTTCCCACCACCAACCCCATAACCTCAAAATACGTCATTTGGTTAGGTTTGAAATAATATTGAAATAATTCCTCAATTTATTTTTGCACCTTGAACTCTCTCCTTCCGTACATGTATATGAGCAGGGTATTTTCAAAACAAACAGCGATCATGAGATCCACATGCCTGGAACTGGAAACTTAACTGCTATCAAATCTAGTTACATGTAATCATGAGAAAAATTGCGTCCTAGAATAACGATTTTGTTTGATTTTGTAAAATTAAATGGTTTTAGAAGAACATGTATACACAGGGTATTGATAAATATCGGGTATTTTATTGTCATTTCAACAAATTTTATCCGAACTTTGAATGAAATCAATATGTCATTTTTTAAATTAATATCAAATAGATTTTTCTAAGAAATAAATCATAATTGTGACATGACCCGCCGAGTTTTCCTTTGAAGTTAGCCGTACAATAACTGCGATACAGAACACTTTTAGTGGGCGTTTCTTATGCAAATGAGCAGAAACTGTACTGTATCTGCAAAATATCAACGATACAACAGTACGGTTTATTTTTAGTGATGACGGAAAACTGAATCCGTATCTTAAATAATATAGATAAGAATCAATCAAATCGCATGATAGCGCTGTTAGTATTTATTCAAAATTTGAAATGAATTAAGAATAGAATTTTACAATCTAAAGTTACCAGTGGCGGATTCAAAAATTTTAGAAAGGAGGGAGTGGGGGCAGTACACAAAATGCCGTCGCTCTCGCCCTGTATCTCCGATACAGTAGGAAACTCGTACTCTAAATATAAAATAATTATATATATGTTGTCGTTATGAATCAATGACGTGCAGATTAATTAATAGAATTTTTCGGCGGGGGGGGGGGGGGGGGGAATTAATTGAAAGTTTTATATATCCAGTCAGTTAAATGCGACTGGTTCGTAATATTCCTTGACTGGCTGAGTTTTTAAATGACAAATTATTACGATGTGGCACACATTTAGGTACATGTAAATATGGTTATGTGATGGTGTGTGTAGAATCCCCCCCACCCATTTCTCGCGTCTTCTTTATCGAATGAAATTCTAATGTTATTGTTTTCAAATGTTCTTGTATATGAAGTTTTACAATATAAAAATTCCATTCTGGCCCCATGCCAGAGACTTGGATATGCTTATCCTTGTAAAGCTTTACAGATACACTGTAAAGTAGTTAGGTCCCGGTAATATAAAATAACCCTGGCCCTCTTTCCCGGTCTCCTGCACTGCCACAAAAATAAAAACTTGCAAACATATTCGTAGTCTTTTGTACAGTATATTTTTAGCATTTAATTTAATTTGTACAATGCATGTTTAAATACAATTTTATCTTAACAAGATTTATTTCAATAAATCCAAATAACAAAATCAGCCCGTTTACATAATTCAACGGCAAGTTAAGCAATATCATACTAAAGTAAAACCGATAACTGAGATTATTATTTCAATAAGAAAACGAGTTTTAGATTGATAATAGAACTGAAATGACATACAATGCTGAGATTCTATGAATGACAAGGATTGCATATATTTGACTTTTAAGTGACTAAAAACTGCAGATAAGGCTAATACCTTTGAACTTTTTTATGCACAACACGAGTACCAAAATGTTATATTTTCGAGTTACTGAAAATAAATAGACAACAAAAGAAAAAAAAAAGAGATAGAGATTTCTTTTCATAATACGATATTGTTGTGTTTTTGAAAATTCGCCTTTTCATTAAAGTTTCACATTTCACATTGTATTAATAAACTTGATTTAATGTGACATCTCCCTCTCTCTCTTTCTCTCTCTCTCTCTCTCTCTCACACATCAGGTATACATACATGTAAAAAAAAAATTAAGCTAGAACAATTTTATTTCATTCGGTAATTTTTGTTTGTTTTCAAGTACTTACATCGGAGGTGGCAACAACAAAAATAAGACGAAACAATTTCTTTTAATTTCATTTTATTTTATTTAAATTTATGATCATTTTTACTGAAAAAAAAAATTAAAATTCAAATTATTTTTAAAAATAATTTCATGTTAGAATAAATAGATGCACATGTAACAGATTTAAAAAATAAATGAAAGTCTGGTTCAATGTAGCATATATTTCTTATTCCATATTTTTTTCTCTTTCACTTTGACAGCAGCTAGTTCCACGAGCTTTCAAAAATACTTTTAAAGAAAATATAAATATAATACTTTCAATTAAAAAGTTTTTTAACTGATGATAAGTAAGATTTTTAAAAATATTTTTTATACTACGGGAGCATATTTGTATGAGTATGTTGATTTTGAATGGTGTTAAAAAAGAAAGAAAGTCCCTCTCTGGTACCTCTCTAGTATCTCGCTTGTCAGAGTTTCCGCTCTTGTTTTTATTTATAGTTCTTAAAAATAATATCGTGTGTCTGTCATTCGTTCGTACTTTTGCTAGATTTAGGAAAACTTACAAGAATACTTGTCTTTTCTGTTGGAAGAAGTGTGATCAGTTTCAAATTTTTGGCAATTAAAGCATTTTACAACAAAAATTTATGCACGATGTACCAATGCTTCAATTTTTACATGATCGATGTGTTGAGAATGGTGGGGCGGATCTTATACAGGAAAACGATTTCCTCTGCAATATTTTGATAATATACCCGTGTCTAACAAATAACTTCAATTTGTCTATATATCAAAATCGCATTCGTTCATCCATATTCAATTATCCAGAAAATCACCTTGTCTGAGCTTCTATACATGTATAGGAAATGCATAGCTCAGATCCGAGACGTATGAAGCTATGTAGTAAAGAAACGGGTCTCGAATAAAATTCTAAATATTTTAATTAATATCAGTGGACTAGAAGATCAAGACCTGATTTAAAGAAATAAATGAAAATAAATAATTATTTCAATGAGGAGAACAAGACGTGAGCTAGACACGAACGTGTGTCAAAACGTAAAACACGTGGATAAAAAAATCTGCGACGACGCTCACCCTCTGCAACGTCATATCTTTATGACGTTATTTCTCTGTTTTAGCAAAATTGCCATAAGGCCCTTTTGTCATAGGCGCAATCATTTGTAATTGTGATTTCATAGATGTAATGAGTACAGTATTGACCAGACACAACCTAACGGAAAGCCGACCCAATCCAAATACGAATCAGGGTTTCGCTTTCCTTTTTACGCTTGGTGTATGCATGCCTGTATCTGTTTTGTACTTAATCATGTGATCT